TTAAAAATCCAGATAGCAGTTCTAACTCCGGCGCTTCGGTGCGCTTCGATTTAAATTCGTACCATTTATATTTTAAAATAATACTTAGCTTTTCTACAACCCTACTTACGATCTCAGGCGAGTAGAGATATTGCGGCTGATCGAGTGATTTTATTGCTGCTACTGTGTTAGATATTTTGCTCGCGAAACTAACTATATTGTGCCCGTCTTCAGTCATGCGAGGCATGCGTTTTATATTTTCTAATTCGGAAAGTATTAATAATTCCGGGTTTCCGTAACGCCTTTCTAACGTATCCATGACTTCATATGGGTCTGACACTGTGAATAGTAATGCTCTAACCGTTTCGCGAGCCGCGCCTCTTAACGCTTTGCGTAACCTGGCTACGTTTTGTACGTCAGTAAACATGCTTACTGTGTCGTTGAAGACGGATTTGAAAGCCATCCACTCTGAAATCACCCCGTCGAAATGAGGTAGCTCGTGGATGTATTTCGGTGCCGTAGAGTCAGATTTGCCTGAATTTACCGCTTGAACAATCGCGTTGGCCAGCATCGCCATGTCGCTACTATTGTTGTTAGTACACGTCACGTCTTTACCAATGCGCGATTCGTGGTTGTTCGTGTTAGGTGGCCGTGCGTTTGGCCCCGAGGGTCGTGCTTTACCTAATATTGCCGGTCTATCGTTTACATACTGCTCCGAAATCCAACCTTCAACACGCGACTCTTCTATTCTGGACGGCGGTTCAGCGTCGTTGGAGTTTTCTAGCTCTATTCTGGTTATTTCCAAACGACTTAAGGCAGCTGCGGCTGCTGCCCTAGCCTGTGCTAATGTGGAATTATGTAACTCTAATTCGGCTTTTAGTACATGTCCTCGTATTACGCATGGGCACAGTAGTAAATGTCCTCGGAGACATTTACTACTGTGCCCGGCTTACTCCAATCCTGCGTATTTAAATCATCAACTTGAACGGACCTATTTTCTATTACTGCTCCCGTCACGTTACTATTACTATGCGTGCCATTGTCACCGTTTGTATGCTCTGTGCCCGTGCCCTTACTCCACGTACTTGTTTCTTTTGAACTCGTCTGCCCCGACGCTGGCGTGGCGTCTGTGGTAGTCGTGGATTTACCTGAACGTAATACACGTGTGTTTTCCATTGCGCGCGAGGGTCCCTAATCCTACTAATTACTTAAATTTAACACTTTCACTTAGAGTTTCTACCCTACCTACCTAATGGGTCTGGCTGGACTCCTACCGCGGTGATGCCGGACGAGGAATGGAAACTAATGAGGAAAGGAAGGTAGGATACCTTCCGGTAGAGAGCGCAGACGCTCACGGGTGCATCAAAGTGCGGTGGGAATATTCCACACTTATCGTTACGTGCCAACCTGTGGCCCCAGAACGTAACCGCACTTTGCCGGCGGGGCCTATGTTACCTGAAAAACGTTCTTGATGGCAGTTAACACCGCAAAGCTGCCACGTACTTGTGATGTTTGCTTCTAAGTAATTAGCAGTGGTTATGTATGACCAACAGCTAACACTCGCGTGTTCTTGTTTCTTTCTTGCTTTCCGACGTGGAGAAATGGAAACTTCTTGCTTTCTTGACGCGAAGAGAAATTAACTTCTTGCTTCAGGCTTGTCGCAGAAGTCCGGTACTCGAAGGACCATTAAACGAAATGGGATCCGCAACTCGTTTGACCATTAAACGAAGTGGGAGCTTTATGCAGGGCTCCGTATCGTTCAAACGTAGACTTCTTCTTGACCATAGGTGATATATGAAGTTAAACAAAACTATTGTTTATATGAATACAAGAGCGGCTTGTAGAGTGTAGCTTGTTGAAGCAGTGTAGAGATGTCTGTTGAGCCGGATGAAAGCGAACGATGAGCGAGTAACGAGTAATGAGCTGGTAATGATTCGGTCACTCACAGCATGTCTTTTATTTCGTTCGGTCAGTTGCACAACTCGTGCAAGCGCCTGTGAGGCGCACATGCTCCATTTGACCAATGAACGGACAGGAGGGAAGTGTGTGGGGGCGTGTGAAGTATGACTCATAATTTATTTCACAATTATACATTTTCATACAACAAATCTTTGCAAACAATTATTAATAAGTATGTGACACACTATAAGACATACGACAAATCTCTATAAACAACTACTAATAAGTATGTGACACACTATAAGACATACAACAAATCTTTATAAACAACTACTAATAAGTATGTAACAAACATTATAAAACACACAACACTTTGCATAGGCATACAAACATAAATTATATATTTGACAAACACTATACGGACATACAACAACTCTTTATAGGTAAACGAAAACATTAATAAGCTTACGTGACTAAAACTTAAATAACTTCATAAAATGTAGGCTGTTATTTACAGAAGCTGAAATAAAAGTGATCTTAATATCATGATCTACATTAGTATCCGAATTCATTATCGTCTAAAATTTTATATTAATGTGTGGAAACGATAATTTTTAACAAATATGTGTTATTTCAATGACAACATATTACAACATAACAACTGTCAATTAATTTCCATTAAAGACAATTAATTATATAATTACGAGAATATACGTAGTACATCAAGTCAATTTCCAATAAATTTTGCTATATTACTAATTTTATCATATTTTTGTTCAATTCAGTTTCTTTGGTCAATTCAATTCATATAGACGATAATAATCATATACTGAATATAGATATTAAGTCAGATAACGTTCAGGGAGACTATTTACCTCACTAACATCATTCCCATATCAGTACAGGTTAGGTAGGGCAATTACAACGTTATATCTATTACCATTGTGTCTATAATAGTGCGAATGTATTATTGTGACATCTAGCGTTAAGAAACTAAATTTGCTCATTCATTCTAGAAAAATCGTTGATGAAAAGTAATAATTGATCTCTACTTTTAAGGACTTGTGGTTCGTACGCAAGTAAACAGTGAGTAACATAATGCCTTTCTTTATGTTTTAATAGCCAATCACGCGAGAATTATTAAAATGGTACACCATTGTAGGTACACATTTCTTTCTTACGTATGTGTGAGTTTGGCGATAGCGGTACCGCTACAAATGATGCGTTTTGCTACTTCCTCTTGTTTTTTATATTTCTGAATAAAAAATAGTTAAGGATCGTTCAACTTATAACGTCGATTTCACTTCAAGTAATATATATATATATATATATATATATATATATATATATATATATATATATATATCTTAAAATATAATGCTTACACATATGCGTAAGCGTCATATTAGTCTGTGGCCTGTTGTCCCTAAGGTTCAGCTTTTGAGTTTTGCCGAGATCTTGACCGGCGACGGATTGCTGCTCCTGTATTATTGTTTAAATAATGGTTTGAAGTGGATTTTACATGTTACAGTGGTTCGATTTTGTGTATTAAATGTCTGCGCATGTGAACTATTAGTGGAAACGTTGAAACAAGTGATCTGAAGTGCGGTGATATGATTTTCAAGATAAGATGTCTGTCTGCTTAGGCCCCTTGAGATACCATCGCCAACTGTCAGCTGTGTGCTGGCTCAAGTTGCCGTCAAAATCTCCCAAGGGCTGCACAATGTGACGCATGAACATATTGTGAAGCAGTGTACTATGAAGGATAATTATACATTGTAACTTCAGGCTCAGAAGGGCTAGAACTCAGAGCCGTAAAGCCAGTTATTTAAAAAAAGGTTCAGCTTTGCCAGCATGTGGAGAATTCCCCAAACTACGGGGAATTTAAAGTTGGTTGGGGATTTTTTCGGGATTCGTATTATGCGGGGAAAATGCGGAGATTTTGAAAATCGATAGCCCGGGCCAAGTCGGAACCTTTTTTCAAGAAACCTAAATACTTATCTTAACATTTTTGTTAGCTTATTTATGAATATCGAATGACTCCCTTTTATTTTATTATTTTCATTGCAGCACATTTAATTTAAGGATTTATTTCGGCAACTTTTGTGTATCATTTGATGCTTAATTTCTTTATTATTTAATTGTAAAGCATAGAACCGCATGCATATAAATGTAGATACTGTGGAAATTTTTAAGGGCAACAAGGGAAGAAATTAAAAATATTCCATGGAGTAAAATGCTTGTTACAAAAATATGGAAAGTGTGAAAAATTATATTCGGTAAAAATGAAAAATAAGTTAGTTGAAAAATTAATCTTATAAAATTATTTGAAAATTGTTTCATTTCTTAAAATAAAATTGAGAGTAATTTGTGGGGAATCTGTTGAAGTTTTGTTCTTAAATTGGGGAATTTTACACGGATTTTCGAGGAATTTGACAAATTTGCGTTGGCAATGCTGCTAAAGTTGTCATTCTCATCCTCTACTAAGTTTATAAAATCAACTCACATCTCACAACTTTCAACTTATCACCAAGACCAACACCTCTTATATATTACTATACTCTTTGACCAACACCAAACTTCCTATATAGGACAGTCACATTAAACGTAGTTACGTAGTGGTTATATTCTCTTTGTGTCACATATTCGATAGAATTTACTAGTTAGTCTGTACTCTGTAGTCTGTACTCATTGCATTTGCATATTTTTTTTGTTTGCACCAAACCACAGAGTATCTTTTTATATGCACCAAACCACCAAACACTCAAGCAGTGGATACTGCGCTAGCACTTCTTACTAGTTTGTGGTGGATACCCCGCCTTAGCTTGCTACATATATATTTATCTATGCCCCGCCTAAGGGTATTAGTGTTCTGTGGTGGATACTACTCAAGCTCAATAGGCAAGCAGCAGAGCACAGAGTACTTTTATATATACTGAGCTAACCCCAACCTCAAATTATAAAGTACGAGAACAACAACATTAACTGTGATAAGTGATAACCGATTGCCAAAATACCAAATTAAACTATCTGACTTCTCTTTTGAGAAGTTATTTATATTTTTCGAATGTTTTCTCATTTATAGTGTATTTTATTTAGTAGAACATATAAACATGGTAATCATGAAGTTTAAAGCACTTAACATTGTGAAACAGTTTCAAAATTTTTGCCGCAACCCTGTCTGCAACTTCGATGGCTTTAAGCCGTACAGTACATTGAAGGTACACACTTTTTTAGACATATATAAACGGAATCCAGTTAAATATCATTTAAAACTCCCAGCAACAACAAGAGTGTGTGTTTATTCATCTGATAGTAAAAAACACTTTCTAAGTTTGGAAAAAAATGCGGAAGGGCTCAAAGATGCTTTTGAACAAAAAAAGGTTCTAATGAAAGAAACTGAATATCGAATCCGACAAAAAGGTGTTCAATTAGTGAGAGACATCAAACACCAGAAGGAAATAACTGGGCAAAAAATAAGAGTAAAGAAGGAACATATCATGAAAGATATACATGAAACTAAGGCTAAAGTTAGAGAAAAAATAGAAGAAGTTGTAGAGGTATTTTTTACTAAAATATTGATAATTTAAACCTTTACATTAGTTAGTCTCTCTAAACTAAATATAAATGATTTTATTTTAGAGAGAAAATGTGTTCACTGTTCCAAATATATTGTGTGTAGCAAGAATAACCATGTCACCATATTTAGGATATGTAATACTTCAAGATGACTATAACTTAGCTCTAGGCTTATTAGCATTTGCTGGAGTTACTGATTTGGTAAGTAAAATAATTAATTTTCTAATCTAGTAAGTACAAGTTGTAAAATTAAAAATGTACAACATAAAACATGTTAACAAAATGTTTTTATACATGGTAGAGTTATGTTGCAGCTATATTACTGGTATAGTTGTAGAACAAATGGGTCAACTCGAAAGGAGAAGTACCACACTCTCACAGAATACCAGCGTAAAATAGTAGCTTAATGCTGATGTGTTTCGTATGATGAGTGTAGAGAGCGGGATCTCAGTCAGATTGAATCTTAGTCCTCATGGGTGACAACTGCATCTTGATTTGTAATTGAGGATAGATGTAGATGTTTATGGGCCATAGCAACCAGGTGGGCTATGTGCTTGTTGGTCACCCTTATCCTATTATCCTATTATTATTATTAAAAACCGACTTCAATATAAATAAAATGAGAACATTATCAATATAGTCGAAGTCAATTAAAAATGCATTATTAAGGATAACTCAAAAACTACTGGTCAGATCTTGATCAAATTTATATGGAACGTATGAGATGCACCAGCTTACAAATAAAAAAAGAATCATCAAAATTGAAACACTTAAAAAAAACAGTTTAATTGAGAACCTCCTCCTTGTTTTGAAATTGGTTAAAACATTTAGGTGGTGAGACTCTTTGTCTGCCTAGAAGTCTGTCAGGATAGGATTAAGCAGTCCTTGCGCTGCTGTCTTCTGGTTTGAAGGGTATAAGAGAGTCAGTGTAATTACAGACTGGGAAGCATAACATCTTAGTTTTCAGAGGTGACAAAGCATCTGTAGCTTACTGTTTGAACTTGACTGCTGGTGTCTAAGGACTGTGGTAGCCACTTACCATCAGGTGGAATATAAGTTCATTTGTCACTGTTTTATAAAAGAAAAAACAATTTATACTTTATGATTTTTTACAGCTTGACGGTTGGATAGCAAGGACATGGAAAAGTCAGTCTTCAAAAATGGGTTCCTTTTTGGATCCTATGGCGGATAAAGTTTTGGTAGCTACTCTATTTATCTGCTTAACATGGCAGGAGCTGATACCACTTTACCTGACATTACTGATAGTGGCACGAGATGCTGCATTGGTGGCAGCTGGCTTTGTTATCAGATATAAGAGTTTACCTCCTCCTGTAAGTTTTTTAATCACATTTTAAATAACATATATGGCTCCAAAAGCATACTAATACTTCTTGGCGTGCTCAGCAGAGAGGGACAGTATTTCAAGCCGGCACACCGCCTGCAACTTTACAAGGCGCAGGTTCGGCCTCACATGGAATACTGTTCCCATCTCTGGGCAGGGGCTCCCCAGTGCCAGCTCCTTCCACTTGACCGCAGCCAGCGCAGAGCGGCTCGAATCGTCGACGACCGAGTCCTTTCCGATCGGCCCATTCATTGGCACTGCGAAGAGATGTTGCATCCCTTTGCATTTTCTTTCGCATCTACCACGGGGAGTGCTCTGAGGAATTGTTTGGATTAATCCCAGCCGCCAAATTTCACGAACGCACATCGCGGCAGAACTCCCGATATCATCCACACCATCTGGACGATTGGCGCTCCACCATGTGCGATTTAGAAGATGTTTTCTTCCTCGCACAACTTCCTTGTGGAATGGATTAACATCAGCGATTTTTCCGGACCGATACGATTTAGGGACCTTCAAGAAAAGAGCGTACTCCTTTTAAAAGGCCGGCAACACATCTGCGATTCCCTCCCTGGTGTTGCAGCTGTTCATGGGCAGCGGTAGTCACTTACCATCAGGTGAACCGCAAGCTCGTTTACCCCATCTTCTATAAAAAAAAAACATAATTACAATATTATAATGAAGTTGGTTAAAAAGTTATGTTTGTACATTTAAAACATTCCACATATAACTCTTGCTATAAACTGTTGCCGTAGTACCACTCTAAAGGAATGATATAAAAGGGTGAAAACGATGTAGGGATGAAAAAACTGTGGAGAAAATACTAGGATAACCATAAGGAGACCTATTACATGCCGGTAAACCAACGTTAGTTACACTACTACTCCGGCTCAAAATACTGCATTGTGACCGTGGATGAAAATTTTCTTTATCTGTTCAGCATGAGGTCTTCAGAAATAGTTCTTTTGAAGAGTTTGCAAGATCTACCAACATAGGAGTGGCTACCTTGCGCCCAGAGCAACACTCGCCATTTCTTCCTTCCATTGCAGTGCCCCACAAAAATTGCATGCCTTGTTCATTCTTTTAATTTTGAAGTAAAAGTATCCATACACGGATTATCAGAAGGGACCGACACTGAGAATATTAAGCAAGGATCCTGATTAATATGTGTAAACAACAGGCGGGGCTGCATAATATACGCACAGATGAAAAAATTGCCAGGAACAACCCAGAAAACATTAGAGATTTAGGAGCTACTGCAGTTGCCTAATGTAATAGTAGACTTAGAGGGTAAAGAAAGGCTATGCACAATGTCACTGGTGACAAAATTTGTGAAGTGAAGTGAAAGTGGCCTCTAAAGATAGAGCTACAACAAAGGCTGCCACTATCTATTTTCTCCAGGAAGTCCTTGAGACAATTCAGGCTGCAAGAGATCATCTCACAGTTATAATGAACGGCATAGCTAACCTGCTCTGGCAGTGTGCTACAAAATAGAAAACACAGATTGTAACTTTAGTTTAGTCGCCATCCCTTTGCAGGTAAGCTAGCTGGGTCTCTTCCACCGGGGACTCATCGTATTCACATTCGGCGACTGGCCACCACTGGCAGGAGGCGATGCCTCGAACCAGTTTCCTCGGCATCTACTAGGTGAGAATTAATTAATTCGGGAACACGATGGCGAACTCTTCTCCAGAAAGTGATTAATAAGAAATCGACTTAGACGACATCAGTGCGCATTACGGTCTTCTGTGAAGAAGCTTTGGGCGACATTGTTATAATTGCTGTGTGTGTATAATAATGCATTAATTTCTCATCCTAATTGTCATTTTTACTCACTATGCACATGTCAGTATAATACTTATCTGATAACTGTAATCATTTATTGACCAGATTAATACTAATATCTCTGTTAATATTATTTTATTATGGTTTACCTACCTTAGAGTTTTTAAATAATTGTTTGAATATTTTATGATTTAAATCAAAGTGACCCAATAAGTTGAAATTTCAATGAGCCAACCATATGGGCTGAAGAATCGTTAAATAAAGTGAGTGAAATGGGGTTCAAGTTGGAAGGAAGGATTTTTTTAATGGGTATCTGAAAAGCTTGTGTACTTCCTCTTACTTGAGGCATGTCGGTGGTTTAAGACCATCTACATCGATGGATGCAGCTGTTTAAGACCATATCGGATGTTTTATGAGACATGATAGTTCTTATTGAAAGGCTTAGATAATTGTTATCCTTATATATTTAAAAATTATGATGAGAAATTTCACTAAGTAATATGAGAAACAATCCCTTGGTTGGGTTGGTGGTAGTTAGTTAGTTAGTTTACGACGGGCTTTTTTCCGCAACTCCACGTTTAAGCGCGTATTTTGCGCGTGGGCAGGAATAATGTAATTATTCGAGCCATGAAATCTCCCCGAAGAAGTTTAACAGTCGTTTGATGTTGCAAGCAACTTCAGGGAGTGATTCCGGCATGCCGAGATGTTTAGCCCTGTATGTAGCGACCTCCGGACATGTCAACAATACGTGGGCCGCCGTTCCTTCCTCCCCCATACATGTCCTACACAGGGGCTTATCTGTAAATAAATGTTTGTTAAAGGAGCCATGTCCTGTGATAGCACTTGTTACTATCCTGATAACTGAATTGGTGGTATTGTTTATATAAATGTAAAGTTACAGCCTATATATGTCCCAATGCTGAGCACAGGCCTTCTTTGGGGCAAGGAAATGTCTGCCGCGCTGCCCCAATGGCAGCGCGGCAGACATTTCCTTGCCGCGCGTGTTGGCGGACTTCACATATCTTCTAAATATTGTTTTTATTTCTCAGACGTGCAGGTTTTCACACTGTGTTAATTACTACCGTCGACCACGTAGTAAATCAGCACTTAAATTGCAATTAACAATTCCATTGGTGCCAGCGCGAATTGTTTGAGTGCTGTAAAATTTTACATCGAACGCTTAGCTCCTGGGCTAACAGCAGGTAGCACAAACGTAATGTGTTATACATAAATTAAGAAAAAAAATCTAGAACTTTCTTTACAGTGAATTTTTTTTAGATATCATAATATTGAAGTTTATATAATTGATTATTAATTACTATCACTACAGCCCATCACAAGTCTACCACTAAACATAATTCTCCCCCATAGATTGCCAAAAATCTACGGTCCTGAGCCACCTGTTTGTTTAACCTATTTTCATCAGGTGACACTTGACGGCGGTCCTTCGAGCTACGAGTATAATGGCCGGCCCTTTGCCGCTTCAACTTATGATCCGTCGGTTCATTATGTCAGTTATTATGGCATCTTACAATTATTAAACTGATATTCACGTATGTTAGTGACATTACAATTGTATTCAAATCTCGCTACTTTTATATACCCACAACATATTAAATGAGACATTAAAATTTTTGCAGAGAACCTTGAGTAGATATTTCGACGTGACGCATGCGACGGCTCAACTTGCACCCACATTTATAAGCAAAGTCAACACTGCGATACAGCTTTTATTGGTAAGAAGGTTATTTTGTTAAGAGACAATAATTTTTTTACGTGGTAGAGCCATGCTGCAGCTATATTAGTAGTATAGTTGTAGCACGAATGGGTCGGCTCGACCGGGGAAGGACCACGCTCTCACAGAATACCAGCGTAAAATAGCAGCTTAATATTGCTGTGTTTTGCATGTATGGTGGGTGTAGAGAACCGGAGACCATTTTTACTGGAAAAGAGGCATTTCATCTTAGTCCTCACGAGTGATAACGCATCTGCATTTTGATTCTTTAATGAGGATAAATGTAGATGTCTATGGGCCACAGCAACCACTTACCATCAGGTGGACTGTGTGCTCGTTTGTCACTCGATCCTATAAAAAAAATATATGTGCGGACAAGATACAGTCAACACGCGCACATCGATTGTAGCCATTGTAGTCAGTCTCTTAACCATGAAGCAAATACAAAGTGGAGACGTTGTAATTCAATTTCACTATGAAACAACGCGTGACAATTTGCGGGGTGAGGGGATGCAAAGCCCCGCCCCCTACACTATCTACATCTACCGATAAATAGTAAAACTACTCGAATCTTTCCATATCAATGTTGCAATGTAGCTTAGCTACCTTGACGGTAGATGGCGGCATATCCACAAAATGTTATAAACTAAAAAATAATATTTTGGCGATTAAAATTTCTTTATGTCTGAATGCAAAACAAATTTTAGCACCTTCGTATGATTATTTTATCATTACTGAGCTCTACGTACCTTTATATTTTTAGTTCACGGGACACAAAGTGTCGCCATCTAGTGTGGAATACATTTAATTATATTTGAAAGCCTACGCAAAGAGATTTTTCTAGAACTATTTTAATAAATTAGGTGTAAAATTACTTACAAATGAAATGTGATGCCATCCATAGCATCGGAGCGTCTATCTCATGAAGCAAATACATTCAGACAAAGAAATTTTAATCGCCAAAATAATATTTTTATAATTTTCATAATAATTTTGGGAACAGGCCGCCATCTATTGTCAAGTAAACCTCATAAAAATTACAAAAAGACAGGGCCGCAATTAGAATTCAATTATTTTACCCAGTAACCCAACATTCAATATTAAAATGAAGGAAATTGTACTTGGCTGATTTTACGAAATGTTTAAGTTATATTTCACTGACATTCTATATGCAAAGAATCACTTAAATACTATTTAAATATGTTTATCATTTTGTGAAAGTCAACCTTCAAAAAATATTTATTTTATCCATAAAATAAAGGCTCTTTGAAACTAAATATTCTATGTTCAATATTAAGTAGGATATTTAATTTGGAACTAAATATCCTATTTATCTCACTAATATTATAAACGCGAAATTTTGTGTGTTCTTTCTGTCTCCTTGAGCTTATTCCACACTAAGTATATACTGGGTATGTGTAATTTTTTCACGCAGAAACGGCTGGACTATTATTTATCTGTGGGTTATAATACTTAATATCTCTGATGGAGAACAAATAATAGACAAATTATTATAATTAATATAATTTTATTTACAAATCAATTAAAATATAAATATTTTATTCCAAATCAGGCATCCGAATGCACTTTTTGAATGCCAATCTAAGAACATTAAATCGTATTTAAGTGATTCTTTGCATATAGAATGTCACTTAAATATAACTTAAACATTTCGTGAAAATCAGCCTAAGTATAATTTCCTTCATTTTAATATTGAAAGTTGGATTACTGAATAAAATAATTGAATTCTAATTACGGCAGTGTCTTTTTGTTATCTTTATGAGGTTTACTTGACGATAGAATACGGCCTGTTCACATAATGATTATAAACTATAAAAATAATATTTTGCGATTAAAATTACTTTATATCTGAATGCAAAACAAATTTCAGCACCTTCGTATGTTTATTTTACCAATACTGAGCTCTAGGGACCTTTATATTTTTAGTTCACATGACACAAAGTGTCGCCATCTAGTGTCGAATATATTTAATTATTTTTGAAAGCCAACGCAGAGATTTTTCTAGAACTATTTTAATAAATTAGGTGTAAAATTATTTACAAATGAAATGTGATGCTATCCATAACATCAGAGCGTCTATCTGAGTAGTTTTTACACAATAAAACACAACACTTCATCCTTTTCTTCTTAATACTACGAAAATACATCGATTCACGATTTTTTCAACACATGAGCGCACAGGACGAATGCTGACAGTATACTAACTAAAGCCACGCCCACCATGATGACGTCAGGACCTACTTAGAATCACAGTGCACAGTTGCTTATGCCGTCTCCCCTTTGTATTAGCTTCATGCTCTTAACTCAGTCCGTAGAAATATGTAGTTTACGTTTACGTCCTTACAATAAGTTAGGCAATAATATATTACTATCAAAATGAACATTTTTAGTTATGCGTTCACCTGGACACCCCAATACCTAGATATATTTTCGTTAAATGAAGTAAAAAGAAAGGTTTTGAATCGCCAATACATAGTATAACGAAGAATTATAGTCTCGACTTCGAAAACTATTGTTGCGTACGTAGTATTGTCTGTTCGATATTAGATACGGTTGCCCTTGTGTCGCACCGCCTTGGCACGTGACGCATTTTGTCAAAGGCGCCGCCGCGATATCAAAGGTCGGAGCGTGCGTCGTACATCCGAAGAATTTGAAGCCGGCTATACATGTTGGCCGAGTGAAGGCGAGCACCAACGTATAGACAGCCCATTCGTCTAGCCTCGCCATTGCTCGTCGACGCTCGCCTAGCTGACCGAGTGCAGGCGAGCGCCAACGTGTAGATATACTTACAGTTCGTTTGGCGTGCCTTGGCGCCGCTCGGGATCGCTCGCTACGACTCGTCCACTTCGGAACAGTGTCGGTTTTTCTGCACAAATCAAAGGCGCTCGCCTGCATTCGGCTCGTCAGTTACAGCACGGCGTCTGTCCCAGTGAGATGTTATGTATTAATTAAGTTGCAACTTTAAAATAATTTCGACAGAATAGAATAGAATAGAATAGAATATTTTTTTATTCAATATACATTACATGTGTAATTCTTATTGAAAGTCATTTTTTACTTTACCACTGGTTCGAAAAAAACCCTCTGTCCTGGGAAGAACCAGCAAGAAACCCAGCGGGACTTTTTTTTAAAAATAATTTTACAATATAAATGATTACGAACTATTTACAAAATTTATTTTAGAAACTGCTTGGAAGCGATCACCTCATTCCCAGGGGTTATTATCAACCATGTATTCATTTATACTATAATAACCCTTTTTATACAGTTTCAGCTTAATAAAACATTTAAACTTGGTAATAGAGAGAACCTGTACACTTTCCGGGACCTTGTTGTAATAGCGTATACATTGCCCCAAGAATGAATTACTGACTCTGTGGAGTCGAGAAACTGGTATCACTAGCTTGTGTTTGTTCCTAGTGTTTACAGAATGTATATCACTTCTTTTACTAAAACTATCTTTGTTTTTGTGAACATACATTAAATTTTCGTAAATATACTGAGAGGCCAAAGTTAATATATTAATTTCTTTAAATTTATCTCTAAGAGACTCTCTTGGTTTTAGATTGTAAATAGCTCTAATGGCCCTCTTCTGTAAAACAAAAATAGTTTCTGAATCAGCCGCATTTCCCCATAGTAAAATCCCATAAGACATTATGCTATGAAAATAACTAAAATAAACTAATCTAGCTGTCTCGACACTAGTGAGACTTCTAATCTTTTTTACAGCATAGGCTGCAGAACTTAGTCTGCTTGCTAATTTGGATATATGGGGGCCCCACTGGAGCTTTGCGTCAAGAGTGATGCCAAGAAAAACAGTGGATACAACAGGGCTCAATTCCTCCCCATTTAAAAACACATTGGTATTCAGATTTTGAACATTCGTTGTTGTAAATTTAACACAATTAGTTTTATTTCCGTTCAAATGCAGATTATTAACGTTAAACCAATGCACTAATTTTGATATAGCATTATTCACTTTGTCACATTTAAATGATTGACGTCTAAGTTTAAAAATCAAAGAAGTATCATCAGCAAATAATACTATATCATGACTATCCCCTACAAGGTGAGGTAAGTCATTAATATACACCAGAAACAGGAATGGGCCGAGAATCGAGCCCTGAGGTACACCCATTAGTACAGGTGACCCGGAAGAACTTTTACCATTGATAATAACCTTCTGTTTTCTATTACTTAAATATGAAATAATAAGTTTAAGCGCTGTGTTCTTGACACCATAGTACTGTAGCTTCCTGATTAATGTCTCATGGTGAACACAGTCGAAGGCCTTGGAAAGGTCACAAAATATACCCAAAGCATCCTCTGAATTCTCCCATGCACAAAAAATATGTTTAATAAGCTCAACTCCAGCGTCAGTTGTCGAGCGACCCCTTGTAAAACCGAATTGATTATTATGTAGCAATTTATTAATATTAAAGAAACTTAACATCTGATCTAAAATAATTTTTTCAAAAATTTTACTTAATGTTGGTAGTACAGAAATTGGTCTAAAATTGGCGGGGTCTAATGTACTACCAGATTTAAATATAGGTATGACTTTACTATGTTTCATTAAATCAGGAAACACACCAGATTCGACGCTTATATTAAATATAGTGGCTAGATAAGGTGCTAATGTATCTATTATAGATAAAATAACTTTAACGGAAATCCCCCATAAGTCTGCCGTTTTCTTAACATCAATAGTTTTAAAATATTTAACGATATCTTTTGGCAGTACCCTATGGAATTTAAAAGTATTTGAACAAGCCTTTACATTTTGTTTGAGCAATGATTCGGCGACAGTAGGAGAAGAATTTAATGATTTTGTTGTCAAAAAAGGAACATCAGTAAAATGTTTCTCAAAAGCCATAGCAACTTCTTGATCAGATCGCGTTAAATTATTGTTAATATTCAATTGAAAATCCGAGTTGCGCGGTTTGACCTTGCCCGTTTCACTATTTATTATTCTCCAGGTCATTTTAATTTTGTCGGATGCAGTTTTAATTTTGTTGCTTAAATGTAAAGCCTTAGCAGTGGAGCACACTTTTTTAAATATTTTAGAATATGTTTTTACATAATCTCTAAATATAACACTACTATTATATGATCTTTTATCATAAAGCTCATATAACCTTCGCCTACTTTTATAAATTCCTACTGTCGCCCATTCATTAAAGGATTTGCGACTGTTAAAAGAGAAAGTTTTAGAAGTAAATATTCTACTAAATTCACAACGTATAATTTCAAATAATGTAGCATACAAATAATTAGCACTATTTTTAAACGAAAGTGATGGAAGTCTTTTTATTATATTACTTCTAAACCTCTCCAAGCGATGTTCATTTATTGGAACAAACAAGACAATATCACTGCTTCTTCTTTTTTACAACTTTACTGCGGAGTACAGTTTCTATTGTAAGAATAAAATAGTAGGTATTCTATTTTATTCTTAGAATAGAAAAACATTTATTTAACAAACATTGTAAAGATAATAAAGTAAAAGCAAAATAATAAGTGCGCCTCTGGGTGTACCGACACTATCTTAGCGAACAGACTATACTATTATTTATTCTGTGCTGTTGTGGATATTGTTATTTTTATTTCGAGTCTGCTTTTACTTTGAGCAGTCTAAGGAATATTACATATTCAAGATAAAACTAAAATGTCGTTTAAATAATAGCTACAGTAAAATCGGTTCGGGATGTAGTCATATCTCATTTTTCCACCGATAGAGCGTTTTTACAGTAGCCGAATAAAGATATATCTTCACAAAATATGGTAAACATACATTATACATACCTCCTTTTTGAATTCGTTTAAAAAATACAACAAATAATGCGTAAATAATTTTTTTCTTCAAAGATCCCTTAATAGATTAATATTGTTTTATATTCACAATTTATTCAGATTTTTTTCAGCCATACGTTAGGGTTATACGATAGGATTAGTAACATCGATATATATGTACTACGTACTAAATTTCGCATTCCGAACATACACTATGTTCAACTGAATTGTACTGCAATCCGTATAGTGTGTCATTTAGTGTGGTTTCAATCAACTAGTTAGTCTGTGGTTTCAATATACATGCAGTGTGGAGTGGGGCTAATAATACAAGATTTCAAATTAAAGTTTAAATTCAAAACTGACCGCGAAGGCATTGTATTTTAAACCGTAATAATCTTTATGTTACGTCGAAGTGATTACGATTAATAGAACTTTTACTATATTTCTGAATTTAGTAGCGAACACAAAAATCTTCATCTTCACAGCTTGGCACCCTGGAGTCAGAAAGTTGTAGATATTTTATCACCGTGCCTCCACCGTGTTGGTCCTGAACCTGATTACTCTCCGGTCGTGTCGGATTGAGTCCCATCGGACTTTGGAGTCTATGATAGTGAGGGAATAATAGTGCACCCGTGCTCGCGCACACATTCGTACACTATAATCCTGTCCTGCGTCGATGACTAATCTCCGTTGAGACTAAAACATAACTGACGAAATTCGGTCAGGAGTACATAATTATTATTATTATGTCCTATAAGAATTGTGCCTATGCATTAAGCACATGCACATAATATTTATCGTGGTACGAAACGTAGCTACTTAATATTATGTCGACGTATGTTTTAGTATTAATGTTCCTTTAATATTGTGAACAGCTTTGCAATATGATGGTTTTTGAAAGAGAAGTAAGTAAAACGTTATGTGATATAAGATTAGAAGGGGAGTTGATTGAGCAAGTGGATGAGTTTCTGTATTTGTGATGTGTATTTAAGATATGATAAGTATATAGAACAACGAGTGAAAACAGGAAATAGGATGAATGGGGCTCTACACTCTATTATGAAAAGTCAGAATGTGTCAACAAAGGCACATATGCCAATTCATAACGCTGTGTTAGTGAAAGTTGGGTCTGGCAGAAGAAGCACGAGAGTAGAAAAAATGCTGTAGAAATGTGGTCATTAAGGAGCATACTAGGGGTGAATCTGAATGACAGGGTGAGAAAGTGTTTGATAAGAGGAAAGTGTGGTTTGCAAGATGTCGTTGTGAGCATTAGGATTAAGAAAGGAATGCTTCAGTGGTTTGGTAGTGTAGAAAGAATGAACGGGGAAAGAGTGACAAAGCAAAAGCAATAGCAGATGTGAATGGCAGAGTCGGGAAGGCCCTACACGAATGTTTATCGACCAAATTGGCGATATATTGAAAATGGGCCAGATTAGGAGTACCCTTAACCGACGAGTGTGTATGCGTAGATATATGGAAGCGCGAAAGGTGTGTCAGGGTCGTGCCAAATTGAAGTCCGTAGTCTCTGCCTACCCCTCTGGGGGCGTGAGTGTTTATCTTATGTTAGCTTTGCAATACAAAATAATAGACACTTAGCCTAACTTTGTTTCCAGTGGAAGTCTGCTTATTCTTGTACAAAAACGTTTCACATGTATTTATGCGAACCCTACATTAACAACAAAACCATATAATATCTTGATTCCGTTCATTTGATTCTAGAACTAGAATTTGTTTTAATCGGTACATAAGTAATATATTGTTTTATTCTCAGGTGGGTACTACTCTCGCATCACCGGTATTCGGATACATCCATCACCCAGCTTTGGAAGTTCTCTGTGGTGTAACTGCGGCATCAACTGTTATATCCGCTTTAAGCTATCTTATTAGCAAAGATACATACAAAATTTTGAGGAAAAAGTTATAATAATAGTAGCAACTCGACTCTTGTAGTTTAATTGTTGCTGAGCAGTTGTCCTTATTGTATAAAATGTAAATAAATTTACCTATTATTTATTGTACCTATTCGTTTTATTTAAATCAAAAATAAATGAAAATATGAAGTCCGATTACAAGGTTGTGACATTTAATTTACTTATGAATGTACATTGACTTATGATCGATATCTATTTATAGTTTATAGACTTAACGCCTTCTCCTGATTAATAAAACCGTAGTACATATATATATCGATGCATTAAACAATGTATACATATGAAAATATCCAAATAATTTTGTTTAAATCCAAAAATCATTAAAAACTTAAACTTTCACCAAAAACATAACGGTAAAATGTAAAATGTTTGTTAGGGATGAAATTTTTTATATAGGCTTAAAATTTCACTTTTTTTAGTTGTTTTATTTTATATTTCAATTTAGTTGACCGTCACCGTTAAGGTTTTTTCTTGCGTTTACGTCTGACTGTTTTCTTTTTTAATATATACTAAATCTTCCTAATGTCAGATTTTTAGTTTCTAAATCACCTAAAAGTGGTCATGATTTTTGATGAGTGAGCGATACTAAATCATGAACTGTAATAAGTTTGTTCATAAAATTTTTGAACCTAATTGACCTGTGTTCAAAATTAATTCAAAGTTCAAAATAAATAAAAAGTAGAATATAGCTCTCTAGCTTCGTGTAAATTTACACTGCACACTTACACACTGCTGAGTGTAAAATTTATTGTCAAAATAATATTTACTTACCTAAGTATATTAATAGACCGCTCATTTAATTTTTACAGAATTGTTACACAGATTAATAAATATGAATAATTGCTAGTAAATGTTCATTCCCGTTGGCGCGAAAGATTGCATGTTAATGATTTCATATATTTACGCGAATAATGCACACGGACCACGGTGTCCCCCATGACCATGGGTCAGCACCCATGGTCATGGGGAATTAAAAAAAGTTAAAATTTAACGCGATAAAAACCGTAAAATTTGTTTTGTTTTAAGGTTGCATGTTTACACGTATTATCGATTCTTTTAATCAGTGTTATTGCATTGTTCATTAAAAAATCATCAAAGGTTTTAGTAGCATAGACCACATACCATCCATACCATCTGGATGATTGGCGGTCCACCACTGTGCGATTTAGAAGAAGTTTTCTCCCTCGCACAACTTCTTTGTGGAATCAATTACCACCAGCGAATTTTTCGAACCGATACGACTTAGGAACCTTCAAGAAAAGAGCTTACACCTTTCTAAAAGGCCGGCAACGCATCTGCAATTCCCCTGGTGTTGCGGTTGTTCATGGGCGGCGGTAGTCACTTACCATCAGGTGAGCCGCATGCTCGTTTGCCCCCTATTCTATAAAAAAAAATACATACCCTTCGGCATATTGTACAGAAGTCAGAAGAGTACAATCCTCCACTTTGCCTTGCGTGTGTGGACTATGAGAAAGCCTTTGATTCCGTCAAAATTTGAGCGGTGCTACAGTACCTTCAGCGGTGCCAAGTTGACTGTCGGTATATCGAAGTGCTGAAGTGTTTGTACAGTAGAGCTACGATGGCTATCAGAGTACGAAATCTATCCAACTGCAGAGAGGTGTAAGACAGGGTCAGGCGTGTCACTTTGTAAAAATCTGAGGTATGGAAAATGGTGGCGCGATTTTCAAATTTGTTCGCATTACTCGTGGGGTATTAAGGTTTAAGAGTTTGCAGTGTATATACTCAACTTATTTATTGAACTATAAGATGTGGGGTATTGAGGTTTAAGGGCTTGCGATTTATTTATATGGGGTTTGTAGTAATATTCAATTTATTTCCTAATTTCAGCTATGGAATTCCATACCTTGAAAAACTTGAGGTATGGAGTGCTCCATACCTTCCATAGTGGAAGTGACACCCCTGGACAGGGTGACGTTATATCACCGAAAGTCTTCACCGCTGCATTGGAAGACGTTATCAAGCTACTGGACTGGAAAGGATACGGTATCAGCATCAATGGCGAGTACATCACTCATCTTCGATTTGCTGACGATATAGTCTTTTTGGCAGAATCGCTGGAGGACCTAAGCACTATGTTCAATGACCACAGTAGTGTCTCCCAACGGATAGGTCTTAAGATGAACATGGACAAAACAAAGATCATGTTTATGTCCATGTCACACCTATGCCGGTAGTTGTTGGGAGCACTAAGCTCGAAGTTGTTGACGAGTATGTTTACCTGGGACAAATAGTCCGACTAGGTAAGTCCGATTTCGACCGAGAGAGGTCTATCGACGGATTCTCGGCCACTCGGTTGGGCAGTTTTCGAGAAATTACGACACATCTCGTCAGGTATATCTCAAAACCTGAAAACGAAATTGTACATCCAGTGCTTGTTGCCAGTGGTGATTTATGGATCTGAGACGTGGTCCTTCACTGCTAGCTGTATGAGGTCGCTCAGCGAGCTATGGAGAGGGCTATGCTCGGGGTTTCTCTGCGTGGTAAACTTAGAGATGAGTATATCCACAGTAGAACTAGAGTGACCGACATAGCTAAACGGATTGGTAAGCTGAAGGGTCAATAGGCCGGCCATGTAGAAGAACCGACAGCCAATGGGGAAAAAAGGTTCTCGAGTAGCAGCTTCGCGACGGTCGGTAGGCGAAGTGTAGGGCGTCTTCCCACTAGATGGAGTGACGACCTGGTAAGACATGCAGGAAGTCGATGGATGCAGGTAGCTCAGGACCGTGCTTTGTGGCATTCTTTAGGGGGAGGCCTATGTTCAGCAGTGGAATTGTGAAGGGCTGTAATGATGATGAAATAGTTAATACATACTAAAAGACTAAACTATATTCCTACAATATAAAAAAATGTCCGCGTTGAAGAACAGAGAAAACAAATAAAAGCCGAGGCACTCCAGTGCCAGTTCCTTCCATTGACCGCATCCAACGAAGAGCGGCTCGAATCGTTGACGACAGAGTTCTCTCTGATCGGCTCGATTCACCGGCGATGCGAAGAGATGTTGCATTTTACTCGTATATCGTAGTGAGTTGGGGTAATACCGGACGGAATTTCGACTAGTTGAAAGGGTGGTAAAAATAAAAAGTTTATTTTCTCGACATCCGCATACCTACATCAGATTTATGGAACATGGCGCAAATCGTTAATGGTTAAATGTAGTTTAGCTATGAGAATCTGTTGATTTTAAACGGTTTCTGCTTTTAATGTGTGCGAAGACAAGGCATTCTTTTTTATATGCATGATGAAGAAGCCTAGCCCTAGCCATCAATGGGTAAGGCCAAACTTAAATTTAAAGCCACTTCTACTGCTTAGAAAACTAAGTTAATAAAAGGAATTTGTCCTAACTTTAACGCTCAAAAACATATTTCAATATGATAAATAAATTATTAGAAACATAAAAATGTTCCAAACGATTTTCTTTTTTTTTTTTTGTTACTTGGCATGCGATCTTATCCCTGATATAAAGAAATTTTAATTTTGTGGTTATCAAACTTTGTTATGACATAAGATGGAATATCTCATTAGAAGGGAAAGATCGCATGCAGTTTTTTTTTTACTGGGTAAGAAAGTTTTAAAAAATGAGAAATGCCTTGGGCCAATTCAGGAGTAGAGGAAGATGTAAGTATTTTAGGAAAGCGGCATATGGCGAAGCAAGTTGTAGTTGGTTAATTGATAGATTATTTAGTATGCAGATGTATGTGTATGTGTGTGGGTCTCTCTCTCTCTCTGTGCGTGTGTGCGTGTGTGTGTCTCTCTGTGTGTGTGTGTGTGTGTCAATAAGCAGATCTATTTGTAGAGTTAATTAGAATCAGAATATGGGCATGAAGTCAGAAAAAGTAAAGCAAAGTGAACTACTTAGACCAGGAAAAGGAACGTGGGGTGAAAGTCTAGTGAAACTGAATTAGTTCTAAATTTTATCTAATAAGTTTTTATTCTTTGAATAGCAATTTCCAGGGCTTCTTGTTTGTACGAAGCCGCCCGCGTTGAAGTCCTAGTGTATTTTTGAAGTATTTGCGGATAAAATGTTACTGTAAGTAGGTGGTGGCACTGAGTGCGTGATGCACAAACCACAGTATAAACCAGTGACCTCTCGTTAGAGAGTAGTATGTTCCTTGCCAGTGACAAACAAACACTTCAAAAATTAGTGTTGCCAACCCTATTATATCATAAATGAAATCCTACTATACCTAGGTATTGACGGTCCGAATACTATAATGATATACAATATATTATAGTAGCCGAATCTATTATCATAATTTCAATAATAATATATTTTAGTAAAAGCTTATTAAGGCTTAAGATTGTTAAAATAAAGGCAAAGAAAAAAATATCAAAGCAAAAATATTCCTTTAATATTAATTTGAAACAGTATACTTATGTTATTCGCCATATACTATTTGCCGGTAATAGCCTCAAAACCATTAATTTATTTTTACATAAAAACTCAGATTACATTCTGAGCACTAATGTAGGTTTCGCATGTAAGGATTCAAATTAAATCTCATATTATTCAGGGCCGATTTTTTAATCGTCAGTTATCCATCAAATAAATTATAATATTACATATTTAATTAAATAAAAAATATAGTATTCAAACAACTGTAATTTGTAATTATTTGTATATGTTGTAACTTAAAAATAAAATATACCTGACAATTGAAAAATCTACCCTAAAGCTACTGAAATCCATCCTCAGTCTAATACTCATACAATTCTGTAAACACAAAAAAAAACAGGAAGATGTTATTCCAAAAGCTTTAAATAGAAAAATAGGTAAAAAAAAGTAATAAATGTAGTAGATACAAAATATTTATCAATTTATTTTCTCATTCTATTCACAAGATTAAACATTATGATATAAAATATTGAAATCATAAAAAATACTAATATGATACCTACAAAATTACACTTAAAATAAGTGGAAATATATTCATTATTCATTCAGCATGTTAGGTTGACCAATTTTTGGGTAGCC